TTATATTTTGACGCTTCAAACTCAAACACTTTGCCCCATGCGAATTTCAAGGGGCGGTGACTCTTTTAACCAAATACTCCATACCTCATGATCCCCTCCGGAGCTATAGTGGATTATTATGTTGACACTTCAAACTCGGTGAGTCCACAAGCTTGTAGTGACTCGTTGTTAAACGATTTTACTGAATTGGTTTCCATTGAATTTTTCACACTTCTATGATTTTCGCACTAATCACCCTACGGGATTTGTCAAACTTTAGCTTTTATACCCGCATAAATCCATTGTTCCATTGTTTTTAGCCATCCCACGGGACTTACTAAGCATCCGCTTTTTTGCCAGTAATATACCCTTGTTCCACTGAATGAGTTCAGGTCGCACTTGCATACTTGTGCTAGCGTGGGTTCTCTCCACAGTTTCGACCCGCTACACACGTTCCCTGCAGTTGAAGTTACACCTTTGGGATATCCTGGGAACAATGGCTACAAAGTGTTAACCAAGACGGGATGACTAGTCTCGCTGGTTATGTAGCGAGTAACCTGACACACTTAAAACCACACACGTTGTTGGAAGGTGGTAAGGCGGTTAAGTGCTGCTCGCTCTGTTGAGTTTTCAACACCGATTGTGATGGGACTCAATGTGTCCCACAAGATGCCAAGGGGCGAAGTGCATTGCACAAATGAGGTCTTTGTAATCATGCATAGCTGTTCCAACTGCTTTAGATCATAGTTTCGATCTTCATAATCAATAGGCTGGATGACTTTCCCCAAGTAGCATGACTGAACCTGTAGTTCAAGTGAGTCCCGACCGCACATGTGCGAAACAAGTCATCGTTTAACCACCTACGCTATTTTGCATCCGCCAGGTGCTCCTGCGTAAGACTACTATTGACGTCGGTTTATATGTTGTTCAGGATTGTTTTCGTCGTATCTGGTTCGAGTGCGTATCCTCTCCAACGTCAGCCCAAGTTGTTTGTGAAAAACAAGCAGACTTCGATCTGTCGTTTTCCGCAAAGCTTCGTTGGAGCAAGAAGCTTGTATTGCTGCTCAGAGTTAACAGTGTGGTATGCTCCTACCTATCAGTATTTAAATGAATTAGTGAAAAGCATATATTCTCTAAAGACTGGCATGCAGCGTTAGGGGCTAAATTTGGAGCAAACCTCCTCACTGAACGCTTGGACAGTAATCAAGGTAGAAGATTGCTCAACAAAGTATACTTATACGCTTGTAGGTACGCAATCCATCCATACGAAACGATGTAACTAGTGTTTCAGAATGTCTGTAACTAATGAAGAAAAATAGAGAGGAAGTATGTCGGTCCGGTTGAGTTGGTTACGCATTACATGTGACGCATCGTCCCACTCGCAGTATATTGGAACAGAAGTTGAGACTGCTCGAGCACCACAGTGTTATTTCAGTCTTTTTACGGTGGCCTCAAAACATTTTTAGTGCGTCGAGGTTAACCTTATTTCATAGGTTGATCAGTCCCAGTTGGTATGCTCTTATCACCCCCTATCAATGCTTCCTCTTGTTTCATTTTTCGTTCAACAGAAATCGAAGGTCATTCGAGCATTACACGTGAGTAAACTGGTGTATGGAATGAACGGATATTTGAAACTAATTGGAACCAAAAATTGTGTTCAGGCAGTTGGTATGCATATTATTCTCCGACACAAAGCGAGAAACAGACTAACTTTCGGAGTCCATCCAATTGTTGCCTCCTAAGTGGAGACTGAAAGTCACCGCTTCGCTCTGCAGAAGTTAGAGAAGGAGAATGAACTCAGAAACTACACTTGTCAGCGTATGACAGCAAGTGATGCAGTGGTCATCGCATACGAATGTCATCGTGCCTTCCACTTGTGTGCCTCTTGCTCTATTCATTTCGTGTTTAAACGGCATATGGATGTGCTTTCCAGAGTACTAGGTGGTGCGGCGTACGCCATCTAAATTTCCTTCGTAGATTCAGCCGTTTTGTGACCGCCGGCAGTCACAGTGATAGGCCAGTATCATTACCTATGTTCCTACCGATGACTGCTGACTCATTCTAAAAAGCATTAGAAACCCTTAAGACAATGGTTCCCAATCTGGGAGTCATTATACCGAAGGAGGAGCAATGGAGATTTATGGGGGATAAATATAAGTACGAGGATTGGGTCATCAATCTGTAGCCAAACAAAATTAAATCAATAGCATCCGTACCAAACTATGTTATTAACTACCTAATCACTATTGATTAGCCGCCAATGATTTACCATTAGTGAGTGATCAGTGAATTAGATAACTTCGGTAATAAATTTTATCACCTAAAATACGAATATAAGCCTGCAAGGCAGTGCAGCTACATGGCGACTCTATTGGCTTATTCGTCGATCACTCTTCTTTTGCGTCAGGCAGTCGTGCACATGGTCGGATTACATAGCCGAGTAAACATTAAGGTGGGATCATAGGTCAGCCGAACAGGTAAAGGAGCGAGCGAACTTTTACAAGGTAGCAGAGAGAAAACAGACGATTAGTGTTCAGTACGTATCGATGCAAAGTAGTGGCTAGCAGCGGTCATCCAGGACAAAATTGGAAAGGATGATGGAAACAAGTGAGAGGCCTCTGACATAAGTTCACGTTTGACCTGGGATCACAGACAAAAACAAGGAAGCGAATGAACTTGGAACACGACCGAGGATGTGCATTAGCGAAAACCGCACCATATATACCAGAAATTGCGAGAACTAAGCAAAATCAACCGTCCCATTTGCACTTATCCATCTATTCCACCATTTCTGATCAGCCTTTGATCCATGTAATGTACACCACTGCACCTCCATGATCATGCCTATAGTGGCGTCCTGCAAAGTCGGGAATAAAAGTTAATGTACATTACCTCTTGATTAGTTAAAAATTGCTCAAAAATGGGCGTTCACGTTATTTGGATGCTCGAAATTAAAATAATATTCATTTTCCTTAATTTAAAGCAATAGGTGCAATAGTTAATTGGCTTGTAAGTCAATAATTTTCGTACGGTAGTAGTTGTTATTGAACCCGCTTTGTGGTTAACAGTCCCAAAAAGGTTGAGAACCACTGCGATAAGGTGTAAAATTTAACTACCCAAATTAGGCGACCAAATAGTCGTATGAGAGTTATGCCGGCTCCGCTTGTGAGAACAAGGGTTCTAGGACAACCGCGATCCAACTGTGTAAAGGTCAGTAACATGTTTGAGGAAATGTGGACATGATATTCTTTCAGTCAACGTTAACAGATCCATCACCGTTGTTTTCGGTAAGACCATTAATACCCTTCGGAAAAGTTGGGGATGAGCAAATAACCCATCTTTCCTCTATCATCAGTGTGTGATCTTTTTAGTCAGGTGACGGGTTGAAAGTGCAAACCCACCAATTTGTATTCACTTGGTAACTGTAGCAAACACTACGAAGAAGTGTGGGGGCAATCATTCAGGATAACAATAGCTCGGGTTCTGTGTTCAGGTTCAGGCACTGTAATTGCCTACGAGGCATTTACGAAGTCACCTCGACTGGCAACGAAACGTCTGCAGCGAAATTGCTCAGCTTGGAGAACAGACCAAAATGGAAAGAGTGGGGACATTCTGAGTTTCACCTACATGTAGGTTAGCCATCCCATGATTTACTGATTTCGCGCTGATTGGGTGCACGGTGGTGCCAGCTGTTCATGCTCACGTGGCTTTATCATATTCAGCCATACCCCCAAATTCAACATTGAAACCAAAGAGATTATAAAGATTTCAACTTTTTATTTGTTGCGCAATCAAACTGATCATCTCCGGGTCTCTGATAACCTAGTAGGACAACCAGAATTCACATCGCTTCCGCCTTTACCAGAAGCAGTTTAGGTAAGTTAACTGTATAAAATAAAAGTCTCTTCAACGAAATTATATGAGATAGCAAATAGTTGGTCTGTGTGTTGAATTAGCGACTATCACCTGCATTACACAGGCAACATCAACAATTGTCAGTTACGATGATTATTAGTATACAAAATTTGCATATGTCCTTATTTTATCACTGTGGTTCCTGTAATAATCATCGGAAAGGTAACGGAGTCGAATTCAGTTTTTATTCAGCTTGTTGTTCAGAATGTGACCCCCGTCGAGATTTCGAATCCCTCTACCTAGCAGACGGACGTTGTCCTTAACTGTTGTCTTTCGACGGATTGGACAACTGACTTCACTGCTGTCGCATATCCTGACATCCATCGAAATTGTGTCGTTCTTAGGAATGGTCTAGCTAAGTCCACAGTTAAAGGCTCAGATTGTAGGAGTGTGACTGATTGGTTCGCAACTGACCTGTCCGTTTAGGACCAATTTGTCACGATGGATGATAGATGATGTTTCTAAATGATTCCGGATTTCAGTGATAGACTAAACGTACTCAACAAAAGCAGTGGCACATCAGACCCTCCTAGTTTTATGCCGGATGGGGGAAGCCATTAGCATTCAAATCGGAGGTTTTATGGAACCCACTGCCTGGTGGATAATACGGTGAGAGATGTCAACCCAGAATAAAACGTTAGTCGTTTTCATCTGCATACCTGAATTGTTGGGACTAGTCTCGAGAGCCAAATGCAGGGTGTCAGCGTTGCTCTCTCAAAGCAATACACTTCATAATGAGTTTCATCCTTGTTTGGCCTACTCAGGTAGCGATAGCCTGAGGCCAAGGTGACACGTGGACCGGGAAACGTGTGATCGCGTTCATCCACTAATCCAGTGATCAATGTCCGTAGGGCAATATCCCCTTCAGTTATTCTCTACATCGACTGCGTTTGGGCGTTTGTAAGATCAGTGAGAATTCGCTGGTCATGCTGTATCGCGCAAGCGGTTTTCTGGATTTCCAGTAGATAAAAGTCCGGTTGCGTTTTTCTGGACATGCGTGATCCGCTGGCTTTGAGGAGCAAAGCTGATGGATCAGATGAAAGAAATGCTCTGCGGTATTGCACACAGTGAATGAGAGGAAAATTGCATCCTAATAGGAAGTTCAGAATATTCAAAATCATCACCACCGCGGTCATCATCATCGTCATCTAGACGGTACTAAGCCTGCCGTGCATGATGGGCTCCATCCACTAACCCTCAAGTCGCTATCGGCCATCATCTCGCCTTCGCTAACTAAGGTATTCAACAGGCAGCTGTCCACTGGTTCATTGCCGAGCGAATAGAAATGATCAGAAGTGAAACCGATTCCGAAAGGTGGCGATCCGAGCAAGGTGGACAACTACCGGTCGATATGTCTGACCTCTGTTACGCTTAAGACACTCGAGAAGATCGTGAAGCGTGTTCTACTGCAGCATCTCGAGACGAAAAGCATCTTGATGATCACGCAGCACGGTTTTATGAAAGGCTGGTCATGCATCACAAACTTGCTGCTCTCGAGGCACGAATGGTTGCAAACACTCAACCAAGGAAAGTCGGTTGACGTCATTTACATCGACTTCAGTAAAGCGTCTAAAAAGGTGGTAAGATCCTCCTTCGGAAGCTGAAAATGTGCGGCGTTGGTGGCTCATTGCATTAGTGGATCAGTGACTTCCTTATTGTGCGTGGTTTGCAGATGACCTTAAGATATATAGGGTAATTGAGGCGCCCGAGCGCTGTGACCTGCTTCAGCGTGACCTTGACCGCCTCTCTAAATGTGGTCGATAAAGGTCAACCTTCCGATCAACCCGGTATTCATGGGACTGGGGAAGGGTGGTACTGGCCGAATCTACAATCTGGCCGGTCAACAGTTACATCCAGCGCCATCCGTGAAAGATCTCAGCGTACTTTGACACTGCGGTTTGAAATCCGTTGAAAACACTAACATACTTTACCGAAACGGGCTGGGCATGCTCTGGGTGCTCAAAAGCAGATTCTGCACTTGGTCCGAAGACTTTGCCACCCACACCTTTTCTGTCATCGAATCAATGCTAGACTACAGTTCAGCCGCCTACAATCTGCTCATCCGGGACGAGATGCAAAGGATTGAGCAGGTACAGCATGTGGCCACATGGCTCATACCCAGTTTACGGGTGTGCATTATGAAGACCGGTGCAAGAGACTAGGGTTGTACATCCTGTCTTATAGTCGGATGCGGGTTGACCTCCTCATGACGCACCGACATTACATCTGGGTGATTACCCCATATTGAGGCCGCTGCTTCATTTGCGCACACCAAGCAGCACAAGAGTAGACTGGTACAAACTTGTCGTACCGGATTTGAAGCGGGTCGCTCACCAATTCTGCTTCGAGCGGATGATGGTGAATACTTGGAACAACCTGCCTGCGAATATAGTCGAAGCGAAGTCGGTGTCGGAGTTTCAGAAACTCCTGGATTCACATTTTGCCGACTATGGATTTCGAGAATAATAACCATCAAAATAGTAAAATTGCTTAAACGATATCATATGTAGCTACAGAGGCACCTAGACTCGCTGCATTTTCTCAGTATGCATAATAATAATAATAATAATAATAATAATAATAATAATAATCAATAGCAGTACCTTAGCCATTTGGACGCATGCTTCAGTACCATATAACAATAACGATCTGCGGAACGAAGAATAATAAGAAAGACAAAATTTTAATGCCCTGAGTAAACATCCAGGGTCAAGGCGCCTTCACCTTGTCAATAACATGCCATCACAAACAACTGGCGATCGTGCAAAGACAAGGTGGCATGGTCCAGACAGTTTCTTTGCGGCTATCACTGCCTCGCGCCATAATCAGCCATTAACCCGCAGATAACACAACACCAAACACACGTTAAACAGGCAGTCAGACTAGTGAAGGACAACAGACGC